GAAAAGCCCCTTTCGCTGCCCCCCCCCCCCTCCCCTCTTCGCTAACGAAAATTCACGTTTCCGTTGAGTTGTGGCGATCTTTCCTAATTAACTACCCACGTTCGGCGTTAAAGGGACGTTTTAGCCATTGACAGACTTGGTAAGCGTTGATAACGTTGGACGATCTTTAAAATGTTACGTATAGATGAACATTGATACGATCACGCTACTCCTCACATTTGCATTTATGTCGCGCTTACATTTACGTAATATCTATATATGTAAGAGAAAAGAATAGCATGATCGTGTCAGTGTATTTAAGGCCATTTTACAATAGCGTAAAGCGTACGGTAAGATGCAAGTAGTTGACCACCAACTACAGTTGATTGTTCTTGGATTGTAAAAAATTCAGTCAATTAATTTACTTGCTTACTTCTTATTGCATATTTTACGATATTGTGGAACACGTACATTTAAATATGTATATATCACTTCCTATTACATGTGCACTTCTATTATCTGACATATAAAACATTAATAAGAAAAATAAAAAAATAAATAATATTTCTGTATTTCATAATATTTATCTATATTTATTTCTAATATTGTGTGTATATTTCTTTTAATCTTATTCAAAATTAATATTTGTTGCTTAAATACTTAAATAAAGTTATATAGGGAAATACTTTTTTCAGTAAATAATAAACTTATGTGGGGACTCCTTAATATCGTCATTGAAATTCCAACATTTTATAATACAACTACCTCAAGTGATTCTCTTTCTGCACTCTATTATTCGCTACGAGTGTCAATTCTCGATAATTCTGTGTAATAACGCTTTAAAACTTACCTAGAAAAACATCGACCAGCTGCAAATTGTAACTGGTTCTCGGTTGGACCACCGTACCGCGTAATCGACCCTCTTTGACGTGGACTTCCCTCGTCATTCTTTCCTCGAAGCCGTCGTACCGCCGCGGGTGATGGCCGTACTGACTTCGTGACTCGTGGAAGTCACGATGTTCCGTAAGAATCTGTGTGCAGGCCAACAACAGAAGACCCAGCAGTTCCAACCGCAACATCTTGAAAGTGTTCGTTTCGCGCTCGCTGATTTCACAACACCAAATTTCGTTCAACTCTTTCAAATCCGTCACCGAAGTTATTAACACTCCGAACGAACTTCAATCGAATCATAGCGTTCCATTTTGCATTTCTAACTCGTTGTTTAACCAGAACTAAGTCAGTGCTTTACAATTTACCATCAAATTTACCGTAATTCCCAGAATATTAACGAGTAATATTTCCTGGAGAAAATTATCAATATATAAAGCAGATAGTTTTTATACTTCAAATGTCTAATCGGGATTTCCAATTAACTTCTGATATTATATGAATACTCGGGTACTACCGGAAATGAACGGGGTACCTGAAAGCAAAAATCGCGAATAATACCTATTATTAATCTTTTGTTATTGATTTTCGTAGCAGCTAATTTCGTTTTCCGTTATTCTATAAGATACATTACAAAAAATATCATCTCAACTTCAAAATTATGCGGGAAATATAATTTTTATTGTATAAAGTTCTTGCAGTAAACCAGTAATTACAGTTTTGTGCGTTTTATTTTTACTTAAACTACAAAAACCCAAATAATTTTAGCATTTATTCGAATTAATAACCAGTAGTGTGCTATATAAATTGATCATGGTATCTCAATGCCCGATTAATTACAAAATAATACCGTGGTATCCGGATACCTGAGAAATACTCGAGAAATTTGAGTATTCGAATAGTATATGCGTGTCCGATGTATAGTAAAAAACTGTACGTAAATAACAGTTCACAGAAATTTTTGCGTTATTTTAATATGGGAGTATATTAAAAAATTACACAAGCATATGTTGAATCAACATATTCACCTCGTTAACATATTACTTTCTAAAACGTTTACCTTGTTAAAGTAACACTAACATTTCAGTGTACCGTTATTTACATGAATTTTTTCATCGTGTATTGACAACACCGAGGGAGAAATACATCGTATGACACTTCGTAATTTTTCTAACACGCGCACTCTAACAAAACCATGTCGTGTCGCAGAAAAACACTGCGGAAGGCAATCACCGAGAAGCTGACAACGGCGAGCTTAAAGCAACGTGCGACAACTGCGCGCGGCTCAGAGCGCACGCTCGCGATTGAAGGTAAAAATAATTTTTCCGACCCTTGCTTCCCGTTCGACCGAGCGCGAAGGGAGCAACTGCTCCTTCGAATGTCGTTCGTAACTTTTCATTTCCGACGCTTCCGTTGCCGCGAACGAATTTTTGCAGGGATCGCTACTTCTCCGCGCATTCGGAGCTCGCACTTGCGAAGGCCGTCGATCGATTTCGGAGGATCGATTTTATATTCGAGATTATAGTTCACCAGGCGAAGTTCAACGAGAGCGATTGTACATCTATACATGCATATCTCTTCTGCAATTTTTGTTATCAATTCCCAATCGGCCGGGATTTTGCCTATCAAGCAGCATGTACTTCATATTCAACGCACCCAAAATATAATTCCGCTCGTTGGGTTTGAATAAAATTTTCCTTTATCGATTAACTCTTTGCAGCGAGATTAAATTTCACATTGGTATTCATTCTGAAGACTGAAGTGATTTCCCGGTGGAACTCAATTAATACATTCCGATAGTAATTGTCACATTGTCATACAATTCTCCCATTAAATTCAGAGGAATTAAAGTTTGATTTGTCCGCGCAGGCGGAGCTTGTAAGCGGATGATATCACCTTTTGTTGTTGCTCAATATATATTCAAATTTCCGACTCTGCGGCCGTTTTAACGAACGGGGAAAAACCGAGATTGGGGAATGCGAGCGGAGGAATCTTCGCGCGAGGGAAAGCGAGCCCGTGCGATGGCCTGATCGAAAGCCGCGAGAAAGCGAAGTTTACCAACAGGCGGCGCGTTCTATTTGGGGCGAAAATAGAGTACGTGCAGTCGCGCGAGCCACCGCTCTCTCTTCGTACGTGCGTTCACCCTTGTTTGTCCCGCCAAGAATATCGTCTCTGGAGGACATCGCCGAGCGACGCCACGTACGGACCTTTCGGCTTACAACGTTGCCCGTCAAAAACTAAACACTGCAATCCCAAATTACTCACGTTGAACAAATAGTCGGAATTAGTTCAAAATTGACTCGAGCGAGAGGATTTCTGGTCTTGAATGTTTACTTCTTCTTCATTTCTTTTTCTCTTTAATTCTGACTATTTTTAAATAAGGAAAGATTAAACGAACATAAACAAAAGTGATTTTTAGATAGATTGAATGAAAAATATTTTGTACTTGTTTTGAAGTGTCGGCTCTTGTTGAAGTTTTTGCGTTAAATTTTGAACATACTCGTGTATTAATTTAATTATAATAATTGATTAAATGATATAATGAATAAATGATTTAAAGACTGAAGAAGACAATAGCAGCTTTCTCGATTATTATCTTCTCGATGTTTTTCTTGAGACACTTTCTAAAGACATTTCATTGTTTTCAGCAGAACCCTCAATTTATACACGACGGTCCTGTGAATTTCTATTTTTACCTTTTCTGATATGACCAGCGCGCGGGCGTACAAAGTTAGTCCTAGATTCGTGATATTTTTATGGTGTCGCGAGGAAAAGTTTCGCACATAAGAGCGTCGTAATATCTTCGCACGGGCACGAAACGTCGACATAAAAACTTCGTAAAGCGGCGATTCGCACGTTACCGTCGAGCGACAAGTTACATTTGCGCAAATTCGATCGCGTGACAGGTTGAAGTGCAGGCTTCCCCAACATCGCGATAATAGTTCACTCGCAGTTTTGCAATATACGCGAGCGTCTCGTAATTCCGGCGTAATTTACGTCAGACAAATGACGTCGAGTTCGAAAGCGACCCGGGGAAAATGCAAGAGAGCGCGACCAACTAAATCCGACAGTTGCGACGTTTACGGTGGGCGAACTTTTGAGGAGCTGGAACACGCTACGCGATTTTCAGGCCGTATCAGATCTACTTGTCAGCCTGATGCACAGTCTACAACAGCATATGTATCCCTTTCAACGTGATATTTTAACCATGAACCTCGGGAGGCCCCAACAACAACTACTGCGCTTGGCTGTGGCACAAATTTGTTGATTAACAGCAACGCTACTAAGATATTTATTAGGAGAGCAAACTTGAACTCTATGAATTTGAATTCTGTCAAGATCTTTCCTACGCGACCGTGAATGGTGCAAAATTTGTCCCGAGGAATTTTTCATGAGCCAATGTTGAAATATTGACTCTTGTTAATAGCGAGCAAAAGAACAAAATGGATTCTTACACCTGCATTCGTGTCCACTGAATTACACGGCATTCTTCTCTTCGCGATATTTTACTTGACCGATCTTTTATTTTTGGATCGCATCCGAACGGAGTCGAAATCCTCAAAGCAAACGAAAGAAACGGAAATGGAATTAATGGCGTGAATATCTGAGAGCGCGCGTTGAGTAGAGAACGCATTCGTAATGAGAACGCCTGGCTTCGTGGAAATTTTCGCGAGACTTTGCGCTCATTGTAGAGAAAAGGTCCGTTATTTCCGATAACAACAATGACACTGAGGTCTCTTCTCGTCGAGCAAAGCCGAATTGCGCATTTTCGCGTCAACGAGCTCTCTCCCCAGGGTGAGAAATCGCAATGCGGGGGTGATGCGCTCGATACGTTGCCATCGAATGTTACGTTTTTATTTATACACCCCTCGAGTAGGAAAACATTCGCACTAGAGTATTTTTTGTCTGGTTAGGTGCCCTTTACGAAACAGCAGCGTTAAAACTTTCATTAGGCAGCGAACGAGGAAATGCTCGGATCCCGTTAAATAAAAATTTCACACGACCCTTCAGAGGTCGAAAATTGTACACGATGCTTTGTTAAATTAACTATTTGATAAATAAGTTCTGAGAAAAAGAGAGACGAAACATTATTAATTAAAATGCATTCGTAGGATCCGTTGATACATTTAACATGTTTAGGTTTATTTCTTTTTAGATTGTAAAGAGAATATATTTTTTTTTATATTCTCTCTGTAGAATACTCTACATTCGGTTGCGCGTCTTCATTCATTTTGGATTTTCAGCTTGATATTTTGCCTTGACGTTCTCCGGCATACATTCTCCAATATAATACGGAATATGAAATAAAAACATTTTCGACAAACTTTTTTTTACATCCTCTTCTGCCCCTGCTAAGGGATTAAGAGTTGAACGGATGAGCGTAAGCGATTATTGTGATAAATCCTATTTCGTCGACCACGCTTGTTGTGGATAAGCTTGCGGGAATTTACCGCATCCATTATTAATTCTTCTTTTTACTATCGTCGATGTTTATGATAGATTTTCGAGAGGTGAGAAAATACCGCCGCGTTATCGCGCTCCGTTATCACACTTCTATTATTCTATATCCTCTTACTGAAAAAATTCCCATTTGACGAACTCTGTGAACAAGTTTGTCTCGGTAAAAGCGTATTTAGCGTTTCATGTAACCGTAAGTTGCATACATCGTTGCATCGTGACGAATTCCTATGTCTTTTTACACTCTATATTGTCAACGGTCACATCTCGCTTAAAGTACCAATTCTCGCAGAGAAATATTCCCGTCGCAAAATAATCGAACATTGATCCTTTACCCTCTCCTGCATCCTATTCGAAAATTCCCAGCGGCACGATAAATTCAGTCGCCATGATCATACAGGTCCCTTTTGACAAGCGAAATAAAAATTTAACATCAATAATTACACCCCGCGGTCATACCGGCACGCTGCAGCAATTCGGGCTGGCGAGAACCGGCGAAAGTTGAACTTTTCGATAAATCGCAGAAAATCGAGAATCCAAACCGCGAGGCTCGAACGGCCGATTGTGTTAGGTAATTACGCACTTGTGAGCTTTTTTCGCGACGAAAGCACGTGCCGAAAGCTTCTCGTTTCGTTCCGACGAATCTCGCGAACGGACTGAGTCGACGCGCACGCGAGAAGCGCTTCTAAAATTAAACCGCGAGTTCTCGAACGAAGCGCCGCCGGGCAAGGCGAGTTCCAAGCGGCGAACTTTTATTTTCGGTGAAACCTCGGCCCCTGTCACACAAATTCTTTCTGCGAATATGCACCCGGTCGACGGCTGTCTACATATGGAGAAGTATCGACGGCGGGAGAGGATACTTGCTACTTCGTATACTTGTTTGCTCGTTGATCCGTGAGAACGGGGGAGTCGCGAAAAGCACGAGTTTTCGTTCTCGCAGTCGGAGAGACACGCTCCCGCGAGCAACTTGATAAATAGCGTCACGATATTGTGCTCGTCAATCTCTTGGTGAATTTCTCAAGCAGAAAAGACGCTCACATTAGAACCGTTTAGATAACAGCGGAATTTGACGGCGGAAGATTCTAACGTCGCTCACGCCGATAGTTTCTTTCTTCACTCTTCCATTTTCTTCCAACGGACTTCCAACAGAAATCTGATGTTCGCAAACATTTAGAAATTCCCGATTCTAGATGCACTACATTTTGAGACATGAAATAATAAAATACTATTTCCGATTCTCTTTCTCTCTCTCGCAAAGTTTCTTGTAATGATTAAGCTTGCTTGTGGAAAATCCGTGATCTTAGAAATTATATTAAATCAATTTCTTACAATAGATTAATTATTAATTCAATTCATATTATTATTATTGTATTAAGTAAATAGGAAAATTTCGCTCTACTATAAAATACATAAATTTGCATTCGGTATCTGATCACAAAGAAAGCCAAGCAAAAGGGGATTAAAATAAATGTCACATAAATAGTTGATTTAACTTGACTTTAAACGAATTTAGAAAGATATTAAAAAATCAATACTATTTGAATATTCATTGGCCGGCATACAAATTATGTTTGTAGGTGAAAACTTGCCAGAATACGGTGACGTGAGACATAAAATATATATCGGTCATCTTCTGAAAATCCTCCCACGAACCTTAATTCCGATAAAACCAAATATATGCATTCAAATATGTATTCAAATCTAACCGAAGTTATAGCGCGCTTGAAGTTGAAACGAGGCTGTTTTATGATTTTGCGTGTGTGCTGAATTCAATGTCTTTTGTGTATGCGTTGAATGAGTTCTGAGGTAAGCTTTGATTCGATTTGAATTTAAATTTCTGCTCGAATCAACGATTTCTCGCTGATTTGAATTATGACTCGCTTTCGCACTGAATGCGCCTCTTTCAATGTATAATTCGGATTTTGTCGGATAAATGCGAGGACTCGGCGTGAATCGACGGTGAGCTTAATGCGCGTAAGGGGGTTTCGCGAAATTAGTTTTGTGTCCGAATTATCTGCTTCGCGTCTACGCACATGTATTCACAGCGTATTCACGGAACGTAACGACGTGTTAAATCTACGATAAGAAGGTTTTGAGACGAACCCTTTAGAGTAAGGGGTGGGTTCCGCGACGAGAGTAGCTCCTCTTCAGAAACATCTCATTTACGTTAATGAACTTACTTCGTCTCCCAGACATAAAGAGGATGAGGAAAGGATAGATGCTGCCTAGGATCCTCGTCTAGATGAATTTTATAACTTCCAGAACTTTAGCTACTTAGAGTTTAAAGGTTCCGCAAACTGCAGTGTCTTTAATTTTTTAGTCGTATATTTTTTCTTGCTTTGAAACCACCACAATATCGGATCCAACATTCTTTGGCTCTTCCCTTTTTAAAGTAACTCGATTCCCAGTTAACTGGGTTTTCACAGCAGGCCCATTGTAGTCCCGGCAGATGGAATAATCCTCGTTCCAGTTTTGTATGAAACGGCAAGCCACATTGTTATTTCAGCAAATCGTTGTTTTAATAAATCATTCCTGGCAACTGTATCGCGCATGTTACTTCAGAACGCGGAGATCATCGGATCCCCGTCGAAATACGTAATCGCCCGGTCACATGGACAGCCAAGAAGCAATTTCGTCCTTTCGTCCTTTCCACTTTATAATACGAGGATTTGCCGCGCGACGTCACCCTCAAAGCCTCTTCATAAGTTTGATATATTATTCAGAATAAGTCGAATCTCAGGCGTACTTATTTTGCCGGCCAAGTTGATAGCAAGAAGGATCATATAGATCTCCGCCATATTCGTCGTTCCATAATGCACAGCACGGCGATGTTTTCGCCACAGGATTACACCAAACGACGAAATGCCACATCTTTTTCATCCTCGAAAGGTCACTGGTCCCTTGTCGCATCCGTTACTCTAAATCCAGATATTACATGTAGGCTATGTAATATAATATTATCAAATATATTATTGTCGTTTCTTCTGTTATAGTTGATACGATTACCCTTTCTATTTTCATTACATTTATTATTATTATAGTTTCCTTTCATATCTTAATAGTATTTTTATTTTTTTAATAATATTAAAGTAACATAACATTAACAACAAATATAATAATATCATTAAAAATATATATGCGATAACATCACAATGATGCTAACTTGGTAATTTCATTTAGTTTCGCTTCCATTTTTGTTTGTCAAGAGTATCATGAAACGCGTTCTCTTGAATACTTTTTCTATATGCGCGCTTTAAAGGGAAGACTTGGGTTGAATTGCTTATTTTTCACAGCGATATTAACATCTCTAGTAATTAAATTCACTTTCAGTCGTTTCTCGCTCTTTATTTCTATTTCCTTTCAGAAACAGAGGGGACGACAGCACGCGTTTGTGTGTAGATAAGTTTCTTCGCCCCAGATGTTAAATATACACAGTAACGTTGTTATTTGCAGGAGCAGAAGTTTATTTTCGTTCGGTCTTTCTCGCCGAGCGAGAAGTTATTTGAACGTAAAACTAGCTGCTTCCGTGGATATGGCGGAATTCTCCACGGCGAAACGGTTATTGGACGAAACCTACGGGGTTGGTACATTGGCTACAAGCCGTGTCGTTGTCGTTATACTTTAGAGCACCGAAGGAATTTCAGATTTTGCACTGTACAATAATTCTTTTGGCTTCTGTTGTTTGTCAGATAGCAGTATCGTCATTTTCATTTGCACCTTCAACAAGCACGATATCCAGTGTCTCGATTTTATATCCTCGAATCTTAGTCTTATCCTCTAAGTACTTCAATTTGAGAGATTCTCGATTCTTATCTTTCCGTATTTTGAAGATTTACGGACTTTACGCTCCTATCAATTTCGTCGCTCGCAGGATTGTTAACTTTTTAGCTCGGCGACGCTCGCCTTACTTTCTCCTCTTCTCACGTTCACCCCTAGTTTTGGAGCCTTAATTCTTTCGAAAATTGCCAAGATACTATTTCTGGGTCTTTTTCCTCGCACGGCACTACAAGACGGTTTTGCGATCGAAGTGCGATTTATTACAGCGATACCGGTCGCATGCTGCGTGATTCGTGCGGATTTAACGGCGGCGCCTGTAGCCGAGAGTGCCCGAGATTTATCATCGCCACGTAGAAGAGCCTTCCGACACGGCTGCCTACCTAGCGGGTGGTCCTACGTCGTGATAAATCAAAAAGTGGACGCTAAGGGCGCGCTACGTGTCGCCGGAAATGACCGACGAAAGCTCAACAAGAATGTCTTTCGTTTCCTACGCCCTAAATGCTAACCTGGCCTAACCTAAGCGGTGATTTTGGCAGAAACTCAATACAGTTGCGGGTTTTTGGAATCACGCTTTATTATTTCACTTATAACTGGGGCGAAAAGGCGGCAGGGAAGGAAACGCTGAAAGAACACGTTTGCAGTTTTGTTGTACACGTTTGCAAAATTTTCTTCAAAATCCCCATTTAATTATCATAAACGGCAGAGCGCGATATTTGTGCCGGCTGGGTGTGTTTGTAGTTGTACTCGATATATCGAGCGAGTTAAAGTATTGCTAACTAATTAAATCGAAGCTACGGCGATAGGTTATCGATTCTCGGTGTCGTTTGGCGAAATTCTCCGCTCGGTTGTATTTCTTGCTGAAGGGGCGCGTTTCTTTTTTTCCTTTCGCGCGATTACTCGCGCGAAGTTGGCCGATAGAAAGGAGCCCTTCCCTTCAATTTGGCGGAGAAAAAGGAGGGCATAATGAGCGGCAAGGATTTAAAAGCTAATTAAACTTCGCCGGGAGGGCCACTACTCGCCTTAGCTAAGTAGAACAATTTACGGTAGCTCGACGTTCGAGAAGCGTAGACTGCTGCAGACAACTTGGCGAGGAAGATCGAGAGGAAGGAAATCTTACAACGGCTCTCGGAGGAAGTTCGATAAATACGGGGCAACGGTGGATCAAAGATGGTAGATAGCGAGATCCTTGCTGAAGAGTGAGCAAATGAAAAAAAAAAAAAGGAAAGAGAAAAAGAAAATAGAGATAAAATCCGACGTACGCGGTAAAAATCTGACGGACGACGGGTGCAGGTTCATAATGACATTTTCAAGGAGAGAGAGAGGGGGGGGGGAGGGGAGAGAGAAAGAGAAAGAATTACGTGAATATCCCATCTCTGTTTATATAAATATATAAAATATATTTTAACAAATTTAATGTAAATATAAAAGATGAATATAGAAGAGCAACATCGTGTACATGTAAATACAAAACTGTTATTTGGTCTTTTCCATTTCACGCGAAAATATTCAAAAATATCGAGATACTGATGTATATAAATACGCGTGTGCATCGACGAATCGTAATACGTATCACCGCGCGAGAGAGAAAGAGAGACGGTTAATTTCTTCGGCAGCATTTTTTTCCACCCGGCGTGCTGCTTGATCCATCATGTGTCCTGTCGAAACCGGAAGCACGGACGTCGTAGCGGCAATTAATTTCTTTTAACGGTCGTGAAAGCTCGCTCTGGGTGCGGTAATTAAATGGAATCGGCCCCGTGCGAGTGGCACGCACGTGTCAGCGCGTGCATGCACGTGTAAAACGTACGCACATGCCTTCTTCGGAGTGGCGATGGATCGATCGATCGAAATTGCCAGCACGAAAATTCG